CTAGCTACCCCCCCCCAACCCCATCTGTGAGCCTGAGGGGTAATTTATCAACCAAAAGACCATTAATCACGGAATGGGACGGCGGACGAGTGCCGTTTAGAGGCAGAACATGAGGACCCATCCATCTACACCGAGATCCAGACACCACACACACCCTGAAGGGCAGGTTCAAGACCAAGGTGGACAACCAACCCTCGGGAGGACACAAAGCCGATCAAAGCTCTACAGTAGGGGGGTAATAAGTGCAGCCGCTAGCTACCAAAATGTTGTGTACTGGTGGACTTTCAACATTTGGAAGGAGAGTTTAAAAATCGGGCAGAATGATGAATCTGTGAAGGTAACAGAATCTTAAAGGAATTCTGAGTAGCTTAAGAACAGCTTCTCTCATCACACGTTGCATACGTTTGAATTATTCCCTCACCTCTGCATTACTCTGGATCTGTGTACATGTACCTCATGCATGTCGATGATTTTTAAGCATGTCTTTGACAAACATCCTTGTTTTCTGCCTCTAAGACATTTTAAGGGAGGCAATGGAAAAAAATGAATAAATGAAACATAGAAGGTAAAAACGTGTGTTCATCCATTCAATTTGATAAAAGAACTGAATATATAACACAATCTAAAGGTAAAAAGACATTTGCAAATAAGAAATGTCGACCACATTGTTTCTACATCCAGTTAAAAACATATCTGACATTCACTCACTGAACACTGCCAAAACCTGCACATCATAACTTCTTCTACTTTGAAAAAGACAAAGGTCTCCATCCCCTTCACCCAGGATGGACAGCGGGTCCAGAGGGGCTTCTCTATGAATAGCACACGAGAAGATGGAGGGCAGACATTTTCATACACGCTATCGCTTCTTCATCTCCAGCGGTGAAAATTCTTGAGCATAGAAGGAGAGGGGGGAGGGGGGGGTGAAGATTCTATCACATAACAGCAGATCTGGGAGAGTACTGGATGCCCCCCCCACTCAGTCCCAAACGCACACAGCATTTCACTCGGTACGACTGGGACGGACGTCGCGGTACAATGTGTCCACGTAGGTGATGAGTCTTTGTGTGGAATGGGCTGCTGGTTGGGGGATAAAGGCTGAGAGCAGGAATGTAAAGGAAGCGATACAGAGACCAGGGTCTCAAATCTGCTGCCGCGGAACATTTCCTCAAGTCCTTTAAGTTGAAAGACTTGTGGAACGGAAATTGTGGAAAACTGAGCTTTTTGTAAAAGAATGAATCCTATTGATGTATTTTGTCAGACTTAAACCCAGCGGTGTCGGTCATAATCATTCCACCTCCACAAACCATATGAACTCTCTTCTTCACGCGCGTCCAGCTGACATCCTGCGGTTGTGATAATTAAAAGGACGGGTCGCACTCCAACAGTGAGCAAGGATTGGCTGTTCCACAGGGAGAAAAAGATTTCTGTAAAACCTGTACAAAGACCTCTCAAACTTTGTTCTGCTTCCCTTTATCAAAGTAAAAGTTCCCATTGTGCTGTGACTATAAACCGTTTATTGCCTGATATCTTCATGTTTTAAAGGGATGCATACCGGGAACGTTACCCGGTAACGGCCTTTTTATTTAGGCAAATCTAAATCTAAAAATGTGTATTTGTGGCATCTTGGTTTACTATTTACAACAAGCAACACATATGCTGATATTTACACATCTGAACAAACACATCAGCGTTATGTTAATATGACACCAAAACGTATTCAAATAGACCTGGTGGTTGCAGAGGTGCAACCTTTTAAGTATGTGCATGCAAAGCTGAAATGACAACTAACTGTCGCGCAGAATGTGAGTGTTACATTGAGTGTGATGCGGTGATATGGAACGCTCAGGTCAATGTACACCGGTACTGTACATTATGGCTCAATAATGCACCCCCCTGTACATTATGGCATCTGTACTCTGTTTGCGGGAAAGGAGGACACAGGATGGAACCTTGTGGTCGGACCGGGACACCTCACAAGGACGTGATGAAATGAGACGAAATGAGATGCAAAACTGCTCGTTCCTCCTCACTGAGAGCAAAACACTCGACTAGATCTCCACTCTCTGCTGTCCTGCTGCTAAATGGTGGAAGGAGGTCTGTGAAGACATCAGGACCACAGAGAGCCTTCACATCTTCAGACTAAAGACACACCTCTTCAGACTGTGTCCTTATGGTTGAAATGTTCTTATTGTCTCTCTGGATAAACGCATCAGATAAATGACATGTGATGTAATGTAATGAAGCTTAAGTTAAAAAGTCCTTTAAGGTTAGTTTTTCTATAAAACAGGTCTTGATGTTGTTGTTTTATTAAACAGACAAAAAAGCCGGACAAACTGATTTTTTTCCCGTTTATTATGGATGGGAACGTTGACTATCTCCCTGGATGTCTAGACTACGTCCATCTCAGACATCCACCATCCTCAAATGTTGTAATTACTGGGCTCACGATCGGCTGCGACTCTTCATGGGAGTCCACATTAAAGAGCTTAATGACAGAAGGAGAGAACATGTTTACAATGAAATCTGACTGCAGTCAAATATGTAGCGGAATAAACCATACTTATTGTGCAATTTTCATACAACAATAAAATAGTATGAGCCCCCTTTCCTCCGTTTAATAGACCACAGCGACAAACAATACATCCCTGTGTGTCCTTTGACAGACTGTGTGACCTGCCAGCGGTTGCCCGATGTGTGTGTGTGTGTGTGTGTGTGTGTGTGTGTGTGTGTGTGCGTGTGTGTGTGTGTGTGAGGGGGGGGGGCAGCGTCCAGGAGAAAGTGGTTTAAGAGGCTCCTGGATGACAGAAGCCTCCCAAATAAGATTATACTTTATTGAGGGAGCAAAGAACTGTCTGTAATCCAGTTTGAAGAGAACATCAGTCTTGCATTAAAATGGGAAAGTTCAGGCTCTGCAATATGGACGAATAAGGCTTCAGGTGAAGTATGAAGAGAAAATACACAGTTCCTCCCACCACCTCCTGCTGAGTGTGCAGTTGAACCCCTCACTCATCTCACAGCAGCATCTGTTGGGAAGAACAATGCTCAGATTCACAAATGTGATGATTTAAGAGCAAATCTTAATGTTATCTCTGGATATAAAGAACAGAAGAAAACAGGAATGAGGTGAAATCAAGTCTTTGTTTGTCCGGTGGAGTTAAGACTTCATTTGGAAAGTGGAGGAAAATGAAACCAACAATGTTGTGGTTTCCCAACTCGTTGCTAACGGGAAGTTAAACGAAAGAGGTTGATTCTTCGCTGGAAACTGGGGGCTGGTCACATGACGCGGCCCCCGTCCAATGGGAGCTCCGTGTGCTTTTCACACGTCCCATCGTGAGGGCCAGGTGAGGTCTGGAGCCCAGCGTGATGACGCTGACTACGACGCCTCCACCTGGACAACACCTCCACCTGGCCAACGCCTCCACCTGGACAACACCTCCACCTGGCCAACACCTCCACCTGGACGACACCTCCACCTGGACAACACCTCCACCTGGACAACACCTCCACCTGGACGACACCTCCATCTGGACAACACCTCCACCCAGACAACACCTCCACCTGGCCAACACCTCCACCTGGACAACACCTCCACCTGGCCAACACCTCCACCTGGACAACACCTCTACCTGGCCAACACCTCCACCTGGACAACACCTCCACCTGGACAACACCTCCACCTGGCCAACACCTCCACCTGGACGACACCTCCACCTGGCCAACACCTCCACCTGGACAACACCTCCACCTGGACGACACCTCCATCTGGACAACACCTCCACCCAGACAACACCTCCACCTGGCCAACACCTCCACCTGGACAACACCTCCACCTGGCCAACACCTCCACCTGGACAACACCTCTACCTGGCCAACACCTCCACCTGGACAACACCTCCACCTGGACAACACCTCCACCTGGCCAACACCTCCACCTGGACAACACCTCCACCTGGACAACACCTCCACCTGGCCAACACCTCCACCTGGACGACACCTCCACCTGGACAACACCTCCACCTGGACAACACCTCCACCTGGACAACACCTCCACCTGGCCAACATCTCCACCTGGCCAACACCTCCACCTGGACAACACCTCCACCTGGCCAACACCTCCAGGTTTCACACAAGCGCAGTCAGCCATGTTTCCTCTTCTCAAGGTTGTCTTTATTACGCCCTTTGGTTTGTTGACAATCAGCACAGCTCGATCGTATAAAACAGACGATCGGCAGCACTTTGTCAGTGTGTCCTCAGAGAGTCGGTCAGACGGAAGCAGCTGGACCTTTAACGGTTGGGATCACCCCTCACCGTGGGTCAACCAGCATCTTTTTAATAGTGTAATCGTCATAGTGTGGAACAAAGTGTAGCGCTGATGTTCCCTTCATAGTAACTCATCGCTGAATGAATGTTGTACCGGAGCTTAAAAACAACACCAGTTGACCTCAAAGACAGTAAATCCCAGCCGTCTCACAGAGACGCACTACTCAACGTTCTTTGATAGATTCTTGTTTAAGTGTTATTATTGTTCCTTTTTGTGTTAATGTTACAATATGATCACGAGTGGCATGTAGCTTTGTTTTAGATTTGAATCTCTAACTGAATTCGTTGAGATTTGCGGTACGTACTTGAACTGCTGCTGTGTGGAGAGGATGCTACGTGGCGTAAACCCTGGCTCCGCCTCTTCTGTCCTCGGAGGACGAATATCTGAGCCAAAGTCGCCACTCTTTGACTGGAATGTCCCCTCAGGGTCCCGTCCCGTCTCATAATTCAGCCTCACGTTAGTCCGATGGAAATCAGGACCAATGTTGTCTTTAATTCCTGAGACATCTTCCTCTATATCTTCAGTTCAAAATTGAGGTCCAGAGCGTCTGAGAGGAAATCTCATCGGCCGCCTTTACAGAGTAAAATGAGAGGTTTATTTTATCCTTATCAGGGTTCGTTGTGGCAAATCCAACCTGGAGGTTTGTCTATTAGTGCTAAAGAAAATACAAAAACAATCACAAAATGACCTTTTTTTATTCACAGCTTAGTCGTCATTAACTGGATACCACACTCCGCCAACGTGACTTCATGTCACACTTCCAGGTAATCATTGTCAGATTTGTATTTCTTTGTTAAAAAATATCTGAAATAATACAATTTACTGACGATTTAACTTCAGTATTGAGTGATTATTTCACAGAACTCTTTCACCTGAACCGCAGCATTTTCCCCGTTGGTTTAACTTGTATAGATTGTATGGACTCATGTGTCTGTTCAAAAGGGGAGTTCATCATTTTACATGTACTGCTCGAAAATAAATCACAGCCGAGTCGTACGGGACATTGTCCATTTACACGGCTGGAAGTCTGTCCAGCCGGCAGCGTGATGCATGTTATTCAAGGCCTTTATCCCTCAGTAGCTTCGTCACCGTCTCCAGGTAGTCACAGTCTGGATATCCGTCACTGAAAGCACACAAAGGACACAGACACCATCACTTCATCACATGACTTTTCCTGGCAAGCCCAAAAAGCGTGCATCGGTCATTTGTATTCAACGACTCCGCGTCCACTAGATAGAAAGACAAGAGATGAGATCCGTCATCAGTCGTGCAGCGACTTGGCTCACTGGTGCAAAGCTTCTCAGCCGGTTTACAGGGACAAACCCCGTATATTGTATGCAAATTTCAAACTGAACAAACTACATCGGTCGAAGCTAGAAGCCAACAAAGGGGCCGAGACACAAAACAGCGCCGGCGTTCCGGTTACACTAAAGGGAAACCAACACCGAGCCCTCGGATCATATCAGAGCTCCTACTGGCTCAGCAAGCTGCTGCTCAACGCCATCAGGGTGTGCCTCCATTCCATTGGCTCGCTGCTCCGGAGAGAGGCGGGGCTTCAGCCGGGAAACAATGTCTGCCATGAAGCGGCCTTTCTGGACGGGGCAGGACGTGTTTCACGCGTCTGCAGAGCGCTTGGAAAGACGAAGTTTAGGAGGATCTGAGAAACCTCTCCGTAGAGAATCATCGTCGAGAAGAATAGGAATATTTCATATTTTAAAAACGATAAGAAGGTAGAAACTTGAGTCATTCGCTGCAAGTAATCATTCAGCTGAACACGTTCTTAGTTTAACGGAGTGTTTGTATGCTGAAACCTGTGTGTGTGGTGATAGTAGTACTGATGGGAGCAGCAATGGTAGTATTAATGTCAGTAGTACTAGTTGTAGTACTGTTAGTAATAGCAGTATCAATTGTAGTTTCACTACTAGTGGTACTACTACTTGAGTTAATACCAGTGGTTAATTGATGTATTAACAGCAGTATAAATAGTAGTTTTGATATCACTTTAAGGAGTAGTTGAAGTAATAGTAGTGGTCCTTTTAGTATTTGAAGTACTATTAGTACTAGTTTAAGTACTGATGGTAGTTTCAGCAACACTGGTATTTGTAGCAGTAATACGTAGTTAATCTTCCAGCAGCCACAATCAGCTGTGTGTAGAGACGTAAACTACGCGCCTCCAGCGAGATATAAACCATTTCCACAAAGAAGTACTTTTCTCAGCAGCTTTTGCATCTGTTGATTCCAAGTAGTGAAGTTGCTGTTTATCAGGTGGCTCCAAAGTCTTGTAATATCATTTAGAGCAGGTTGTGTATAACAGGGGAAGCGTTTGTGATCAATTCAAAGAGCCCGGTGGTCTTTACCACGTTCAATGGTCCTGTTGTGGAGGCAAACTCCTGCGCAAACCAAAGACTTGCATTCAGTTACACCTGGGTCCATTGGACCAACTCACTGCTTCATCCACGCATTCTATTCCACGTGCAGGAAAGCAGACGGTGGAGTTCCAAGCGTCTACTCACGGGCCTTCGTCTGCTCGCGTTTTAAGGGGGACGGAAGCTGCGGTGACGGCGTCCTGTCCGTCTGCATTGGTGGTGACGGCAAACAGGAGCTGCTGCACGAAAGCCTTGTCCAGGAGCTGCAGAACCTTCCTGCCGTCCCGGTTGTCGGGCAGGTAAGCGGAGCACTGCAGCCCCGCGTAGGGCCGGCCAGGGTGGGGCTGTTTCTCCTGCAGGAGGAGACGTGCGTTAACCTCGAACCCACGTGCTTCTGGTGCAGTGGCTTCATCACACGGCACTCCCGAGTGCGGGTGTGCCGATAGCAGAAAAAAAACACAGTAAATATTTGCCCGTTGCATCAGGCTCACCTCGTTTTCTTTATTAAAAAGTACAATGATACTCTTTGTGCTCTGCCTCAAAACACAGTGTCACATGACTACTTCCATAAACTGGACCGACGGGTGCTGGTGTAAACAGGAAGTGGATTCTTTGCTTGATTACAGGTTGTTATGGATGGAATTCATAGTTGGGATGTGACCTACTATCTGCCGCAGCATCCGAGCCGCAGCTCTGCTAACCGGCCCGACCGGACCGACCGGACCGACCGGACCGTCCACTCCGTTGGTGGAAAGAATCCTGCGCTCGGGTCGGCCGTCTCCTGTGTTCTTGTGGGTTTGCATCTGACGCAATTCACTGTATGAATCAAGCGTGTTACTGATCCTAGTCGATGTCAGTCATCGTCCGCGGGGGGCCGGAGACCCTCCCAGCTTACATCGGAGAAAGGTTCTAATGTTTAGCACCACGTATCCTTGGTTTTCTGTCCTCCCTTGCTAAAGTGTGTCAAACGCTACGGAGGAGGTGCGATAGCTGATTAGGGATCTGGAAAGAGGACCTGGCCTCCGTGCAGTGACTTCTGCTCGTCAGTCAACAATCAGATAGTTCAGTTGATTCACTAGAGCTGTTGGCTTACTGTTTGTATCCCGTCTGGGAAGGTGAAGTCGACGTGCAGGGTGTGGTCCTCGGGGAATCCCGGGAGGTCTCTGGGGAGGATCATCCAGGTCATGTGGCCCTCCGGCTGGCAGTCATTCAGTCCTCTGTTCTTCCCCTTCATGTCGTAAGTGGCTGCACGCAGATCCGTTTAGTCAAACCGTCCAGAGGGAGTCAGGAGACGCACGGAAGGATTGAAGTCACACAGAAGACGGGTTTGCACGTACCTTGCTGTGACAGGGGCCGAGGACCCTTCCCGTCCAGGTAGCGGTTGCAGTGCAGTTTGTCACTGCTCTGTCCAGAGCCCATCCTGAGACGCACTAAACCAAGGAAAGCAGCACTGGCTGAGGACTGCTTACCAAACACGGAGCACAACATGTCCCTCTTAACACTACAGGTGCGTCTACTGGACATGTGATCTCACGCCGTCATCAGCATTTAAGTTACGCTGGGAGAGAAGAAATGGTTCCAGTTTGAAGGACATGGGAAAAACAGGTCTATGGTTATCAGGAAGTAATTAGTTGCCTTGTGGGAAATGGAGGACGCTGCTTTTTCGCTTGTAACCATTTCAGTGAAACCCGCCTCTTTCATGGAAGACAGTACGTCCAAGGGTAGTACACAAGTACATGAAATATCTACTGGGCTCAATACAAAGCGCCACAGAGGCAAAGCGAATGCACAGCTTACAGGAGTCGGCGTGAGATGATCTGATTATTCATGTTCTGCTCAATACTTCGTTAATGAAGTTTTATTTGTGCGTATTTAGCGACCACTGCAAAAAATAATGTACTCGTACATTGAAGTGCTTTGGTTGGTTTGGGGTCAGCACTTTGCCTCAAGGTAAAACCTGTTTGTCCATTCACATGCCTGCTGGAGACACTGTCCCCACTTACTGCTGTGTCCTGCTTGGAAGGACAGTTGACGAAGAACTAATTCACCCTGAATCTATGAAACACAGCCAGTAGTCCATTAAAGTACGTTCATTCATTTTATAGTCCCAACAGATGTAACATGCGTGTGTCATGATCGTGTCCATTCGGTGCAGATGTGTATCGTCTCCTGTCAGTCAGCAGTTATAAACTCAATAAAAGGACTAGCCGGTGTTTTCATGTTCAGCAAGTAATTAGTAATCTAGAAGACACATTTCTACATGCAAATGATACATTTAGACAAAAGAACAGGATTTACTGAAGACTTCAAACCAACAGTTACTCACAGTGTTTGTTACGCTGTTATTACACAACATGAGCGGAACTGGTCACCGAGTGTCCCGTTGTTACTCACATTAGTACCATTAAAAGTTGTCTCCTTTCCTTCTCTGCCTCCCCAGCGCAGCTCGGAGTGTCTTCAGCTCCCGAGGACCTGAGAGACACAACGGGAGGGACGAGTGTGTCACACTGCAGGTTGTGTCCTGCTGAGAGACTCTTCAACCGGTGTAGCAGCTCTGACAGGATCCGTAACATATACGTGAGTGTGTGCGTGTGTGTGCGTGTGTGTGCGTGCGTGTGTGCGTGCGTGTCCTTTCAGTTCACTTCCTGGTGACACACTTCCAAACGCCTTCTGCGTTTCTTCGTCTCCTCTAAACCAGCGGTTCCCAACCTCCAGAACGCCGCGGCCCACTTTGCAATCTGAAAATCTTTTGCGGCCCAAACGTTTAATCACAACTCTGATCAAAACGTAAACTAGGGATGATTAAATGACCGGAAGAATTTAACCGATTAAACATGTATTAACAGACAATGTGTGTTTTGTGAACCATTTTCTCCGACGCGCCCTGAAAGCAGCTCCGTATCTCACTCAGCATCTCGCCGCCGTAGACGGGCTTTGGCGTGTTTGGCAGAGTGAACAACCAGTACGGATCAACCCGTTAACCAATCTGTTCGTTTAAATTGTTTGTGCTTCATCAATGAATGTTTCTGTAGCGGTCGGGATTATTACCGCCGCCTTACAGGGGTTATAAAGCACTTACTCTGGGTGGGACGGGGTCTGGGTCCCTGCGGCCTCGATGCTCAGGTGAGTGAACAGGTGGTTCACTGTTTAGCGGCTATGCTGGACGGTAGCTTCTTAGACGGGGCAAAGTGGGCTTCAGCAGGTGGTCGTCTGACCGGGAAGAACACTTGACGCACCCGTGGAGCCAAAAACCCGTTTTCCCTCCCTCTCTCCTGCGTTCACGTGAGTCTTAAAGCCGTAGTACATATTTGTACCCGCTAGATTTCACATAACTAACGTGCCGCATCATACATATTTTTATGTTAATTTCTAACTTTTCAAATTTGAAAATTAAAACCTTTTTATTTATTTATTGTAAATGACCTCTCGCGGCCCACCAGGGGGCCGCGGCCCACACTTTGGGAATCGCTGCTCTAAATCATTTCTTTTTACTTTAATGTAAAGCTCCTCTGTGGGGGGCCGTGGTTTGATCCACGGCCCCCCACATTCTACACCTCCTTTGTCGTATCCAAAGTACCTCCCCGAAGCATTTCCACTCCGCCCGGTCGTCCTGCTCCGGCCGGTCCTGCCGGTCGTGTGTACAATGTTCATCAGTGGTCAGAGTTTAACAACTAGAAGAACAGATCGCAACGTCTCACAATTTAAATCAAGAAATCCCCTCGGCCAGAAGCTGCAGGATGTCAGAGAGCAGATAATTGATTAGTTTGGGCGCGTCTACATCCGGCAGCAGTGCAGCACGTTAATAACTCCTAGCTCTTCCTGTTCCAGCATTGCTAATCCCATCTGTTCCCTCGTTGTCCTCTGCGTTTTATACCTGTGAAGACAAAACGTATCGTTGGTTGGTGTCCTACAGAGTCAGACGTGATGATCGTCTGTGTCACGGACGGATGCCACCGTCCGTCGAGTAAAGCACCACCCTGAAGATGTATTTTTACAATTTGCATACGGACTAGAAAAATAGAGGAAACGTCATACGTGTAGAGCAGTTTTCTTAAATAAATTTATAGAAGGGAACAACCTTCTTGCGTTGTCGTAAACCTCTGAGCCGGACAGGAAACGAGGATAAAGTTCATCACTTCACTAGCGTGAAAGAACCTCCTGTCGCCTCTGCAGGCCTTCACATGACACATGTTCATCTAAAATCACCCGTTGGCCTCCCTTGCTGAGTTATTCCTCTCAGCTCTGCCAGCGTGTGTGTGTGTGTGTGTGTGTGTGTGTGTGTGTGTGTGTGTGTGTGTGTGTGTGTGTGTGTGGTGACAGTTTGTCGAGATCCGTTTTGATGCGTTTGGTTTTGTGTATTTCATGTGGGGTCCACCGTCCAAAGACAGACCTGAGACACAGGACAGACACCTTCCAGCGTGAGTGGCTGCTGAGGTCACTGAGGTCCCTTTCATACTGATACAATTAGACAAAGAGTCCTCTGTCTCCACACCCAACAGAGGACACGTTGTCTCCCGATCCCAGAATAACGTCCGCCTAACACCATGATCTCATTGAACTCTAGACGACGTTCTACAGCCTCTGAATTCATCCTGCTGCTCAGATATTCTTTTTTTAAACATTCCACACGACCGCTGACTTATAGATTGTAAACACATCCCTCCTCTCGGGTGTTTCCCCATAAACCCTAAAACTGCTCTGATGAATCCGCACCTTAAGAATGAACCAACAATGGAAAATTATAGACCAAAATCAAACCGGCCTTTTTTATAGTAAAATCATTTAAAAAAGGGCTGTTTTTCAACAGCTAAACTACGTCTTGGCCGTAAATATCCGGCTTTGCACCACAGAGATTAAGCACAGACAATGGAAGCACTTCTATCTTAGTGTTACCGGATCCCAGCGCAGCATTTGACACGTCGACCCTGACGAACTCAACTGGGGGGGAATCTGTGGCTCGGTTATGGAAATCATAGATGTGTAAATCTACATCAGCATAAGAGCAGGAGACCACAGGACAACACAGGGCTGAATGCACTGAACAAACAACAACTGCTTGTGTGAAAAGTACTCTTCAACTAGACAACAAGTGCTGTGATAACGATGAAAGTCAGCGCTGAGCTTCAATCCCTGACGTTAAAAACCACAAACCAAGTCTGGGTGTAATTATGGGTTCAGACCTCAACCTGAACACTCATATCAAGACCGTTACAGAATCAGCCGACGATCCCCTAAAGAATCAGAGTGAGAGGACTCATGTCTCATTTCAGTTCCTAGTGACCAGTGGGTCACCAGCGTCTCCGCGCGGACTTCCTGTCAGACAGCAATGGACTTAAAGATGCAGCTGCTGGTTTTTAAACACACTCCATGGGTTAAGATGTGATCTGCTGATTCCTTAGAAACCGTCACCAACCCTTCAGTGAGCACGAGACGGGGTTTCTATGTTGGACTCTCATTTCAACATCTAGGACCTCATTGCAATATGTTTGCAACCGGACAAAATGTGGTTCCAACATCCGCGTGTCTATAATGTGTTGTGTTGTAACGTAAGGTTGAAAGAGACGATATTTATATAAATAAACAAACCGGTCTGCAAATTCCGGTTTGCAGTCTGCACAAAGCTGCGATTTTAATGTGAATATTTAAAACGTCGTATAAATGGACCTACAGACTGTGTGCTGTTAACGAGATGCTTTAAGGACAAACTGCTTTTAAATACAGAACCCGCCACATCTGTAACGCACACGCACCATTTCAGACACGTGCAAAGCTCCGACTGGATGCGGCACAAGACAAAGTTCCTGAGGAAGCAAAGCGACATGAACTGCTGATGAAGCCACAAATACTCTGTGAGTTCGTTGGGTGTTTAATGAAGCGTGAACCGCTATTTGTTTTACTTGTGCTGTCCACTCAATTCTCTTTCTAGAGAACTAGAAAGACATGAACTTTATTAACCGCCAAGGCGGAACTAGTGTGCAATGGCAGCAGAACAGTAAATGAAATAAGAAATACAGTAAAATAAAACCAAATAGAGCAGAAGATATGAAAAAGAGACACGAGCAGCATCTCGTCTGTCCGAAGCGTGAGGACCTTTCTGTGATCGTCCACACGGGACGGCCAGACAGATGGACACGTGTGGTTCAGAGACACAGATCCATGTCACGTGACAGCGATGCTTATTTCTGTCTTAACAAACTGAAATGATCATTCACCCCTGGTGGATCGTTGCTTTTCACCTGTAGAGGTGAGCCGAGGGTCGAGCTGCGTCACTGGATGCGAGAGGGAATCGATGGAGATGAAGTTATCCAGCATCAACTCAGTTAGTCACTGTGTTAAAAAAAGGACCATGCGACTCATTTAACCCGTTCAGGAATCCACTGATTCACACGGCGAGACGAGCGGGTCCACGTAGCACACATTACAGAATGTGACCTGCTGGACTGAAGGTTCATGATGTCGGATGTTACTCGATGTTACGCGTCCGCTGCTCTTTGACCAGATAAAACCAACCGGCGCTTCTGACACTTTGTTGGTAACTTACTCGTCTGGTGAAAGACAAACTGAAGACACTTTGCCTGATAAGTGTTTGAGCGTCGGCTTGAACGGCCAATCAGCTACAGGGAGCTGCCACGCCCCCCCTTCCCTCCCATTTGCTCCCCCCTTCCCTCCCATTTGCTCCCCCCTTCCCTCCCATTTGCTCCCCCGTTCCCTCCCATTTGCTCCCCCTTTACCTCCCATTTGCTCTCCCTTTACCTCCCATTTGCTCCCCCCTTACCTCCCATATGCTCCCCCTTTACCTCCCATTTGCTCCCCCTTTACCTCCCATTTGCTCTCCCTTTACCTCCCATTTGCTCTCCCCTTACCTGCCATTTGCTCCCCCGTTCCCTCCCATTTGCTCCCCCTTTACCTCCCATTTGCTCTCCCTTTACCTCCCATTTGCTCCCCCCTTACCTCCCACATGCTCCCCCCTTACCTCCCATTTGCTCCCCCGTTCCCTCCCATTTGCTCCCCCCTTACCTCCCACATGCTCCCCCCTTACCTTCCATTTGCTCCCCCGTTCCCTCCCATATGCTCCCCCTTTACCTCCCATTTGCTCCCCCTCCCCTCCCTCGTCCCCCTGTTTCCCGGCCTTGCCAACCCGTGTCTGCTCCTCGGTTATTGGATAATTTGGTTTTCTCCTGCGTCTCGAGGTACTAATTAAATGGCTGTACGCTGTCAGGAGATTGTCACTATTGATTTTTCTTTCTACGAGGAAGTGCGGAGCCTTTTCAGTCTGAGGAAGCCGCCCCCCCAAACCTGCTTCCACTCCCCAACACACAGAAAGCTAACGTCCGCTTGCTTTAGTCCCACAGCAAACAAGGGTCCTTGACTAGCCAACCAAATAACCCTGTGATGGTTTAACTGGTCTGTGTACTGGGGAGATCTTCAGGGAGGGGGTCGTCCCACGTGGCTGAGCTGGTCGACAGGGACTATCTGGGGGGGGCTACATTGTGTATTGGGACTGTGCTGTTGTGTCGTTGGAGACAGCTGTCCCCAGAGCTGTCCCTTTTCCAACACCTTTTACTGCCACTAACCACTTCCTTCTCGACAAGGAGCCCAGCATGAGGCAGCAGCATGTGACTGTTCAGTGGGCCACTGGCTGGTCCACCTCAGCCCCCAACTCCAGCCCACTGTCCTGTCCCCGCCAACAGGAGACGGGAGACAGAAGACCAGAGGCCAGCCAGGCGAGAAACACAAAGGGACACCCTGGATGTGTGAGGAGCGCCTCTCCTTCCACAGACCACCACAGCTAAAAGCCGCCTGGTCATCAACAAGGGTTTCTGGTGAAATGTTCTGTTCCGATATGAGGGTTCTGGCACAGAAGATGTTGTTTATTGTTTTGTAATTTGGGGTGTTACAAACAAACAAGACATTTTTAGGAAGTAGTCGTTTAGTTCAGAAACGCGTCACTTTTAAAGCAGACTCTTTAAATGAAATAAAGCTATCTCCTCCGTTCAAGCAGATGTTTATTTCTAAAGCGCCGTTAGACATCTCCTGTTATCAAAGAGCGATGCGTGAGAAAACAGGATGAATCACACGCCAACTTCTTATGATTTACTTCTTCAGGAGGAAAGAGAGATCTGCTGGTCCACAAGATGTGATGCAGAAACACACAGTGAGCTGATTTAGCCTGGAGGGGGAGAGAGGGG